ATTCAATTTGCACCTTCTCTATACTTTACGTTCAAGTATGTAACATATAACTGTACCAAATTTTCTTTACATAAACATAAACTGCGCTAAATAATAGAACCTGCTGCTACGAAAGACAAATGTAACTGATTTTTTCTCTGTTGTGAATGATACAAGAAGAAATGAAATAAATATGTAGTAAAAACATCAGCTTTGCAATTTATGAAGAACTCAACTTTTGCACATGTTGATCCGTTATCTTTATCAAAACAATGTTTTCATATAGTGACTGTACGTCACTACGTGGTACTTTGCGCAGCTATAAACATAAACTTATTTTAACAATTATCTGAAAAAACAATTTTATTATGAATTATGGATTTTTTCAGGTGAATTATGATTGAACGAATACATGGGCAAGTCTTTCAACAATGCAAATTAATAGTGTGGGATGGATGTACAATGGCCCATAAGAAATCAGTGGAAGGGTAGACAGGATATTGGGACTTGCGCAGTAATGATCAACGGATATTTGGTGGCGCTTTGATTCTGTTGGCTGGTGATTTTCGTCAGACATTGCCTGTGATTCCCCGTTTAATACCAGCAGATGAATTAAAAGCATAATTAAAGCAGTGATGCGCACGCCTCAATACTACTACATTTTACTTTTGCGCTACACAAGCATTGCTATAGATTTTCGCTGCCATATACGCTGAACAAATTTCTTCTGTATTTTTTTATTTACATTCAAGGAAAAAAATTATTGGCAAATTTGGAAAAAATATCAGAAATGTTTATTGAACTCTTTTTATTTAATACTTGAAAATTTTTAAAGTCGTTGACTAAATAGCCCATTTCGATAATACATAATCAATATTGATTTCCCCTTTATACTCCTTAATGCGTAGAAGATCGGTAAGATGTTGGTCAGAAAGCGTGTTTCTTTGCTTATTTTGAATTAATTTGAAAGTGGAAAATGCACTTTCACAATTATAAGTCGATCCCATCATCGAATACAATTTGAAAATTTCTTCTTTCAATTTCGGATATTTTTCTTCKCTTATCTGCTTCCAAAATGCTTCTCCAACTTCAAGAAGAATTAAAAAATCTTCTCGCATAATTTCTAGTTCTTTCTGAAGTTCGGGTTTTTGATCCTCTATTGCACATATAAGAGGATTATCATAAATTTCTATTATTTTAGTTAAAATGTTGAATTCTTCGAAACGAGCATTATAATTTTTTAATAAATTTTCAACTATTTTTCTGAATACCTTTATTTTTGCAAAATCATTACTTTCACTAAACACTTCTGATGTTTTTTCCAAACTTGACAAATCATTTTTGTTYAACTGACTTATTAATATTTGCAATTTTCTGCCAAAAAACTTAACAGTCGAAAAAAACTCAAATATTTTTTTATTTTTACCCTGAAGAGCACGGTTAAGTTCATTAAAAATTTTCGTTATATCGCACAAAAAAGCGAAATCAAGAATAAACTCATAATTTTTGAGACATAAAATTAACTCTTCAATTTCTTCAAATTGAGTTCAAAAAACATACTGACCTCTTTCCTCAAATTTAAGAGTCTTTCGAGGTTTTTTCCGCGACTAAGCCATCGTACTTCAGTGTACATAAGCAAGTCCCCGTAATCTGCCTCTACGTTTTTCTTAAACTTTCGATGGCTAAGGGCGTTATGTCCCCCTTTAATTTTGTTAATAATTTTAACTGCCGTATTCATAATTTTAAAGGTACCCAATTCTTTAGAAAAAAAGAGTTTGTTGGTGAATAATGCAGTGGTAAGATGGCACATTTATGAGGGATACTTTTAAAAGAATGGCCGTTTTCTTTGTATTATTACTTACGTATTATTTCGATATAATTATATTTCATATATGTCTTATATTTTTACACTTGTGAGTGGTCCGTGGTTGGCGGTGGTCTGTCTGTTTGTCTGTCTTTCATTCGTCTTTGTAACTACTGTTTCGTTGTCATCCCAGTCCGTTCGCTGCTGTCACATCTGTTCCCTACCAAGTGTTGCATTTCTGTTTCAGTCTTAGTGTCCGTTTACACAGTCCTACATTCGGCTATCCTGACTATTCTGCAATTGTTATCGTGCGTCGTGGTCCTTCATGATCACTTCATACCTGCCGTGTGCCATCTTCTTCACAATTCTATATGGTCCGAAGAAGTTTGCTTTAAGTCTCAATCCTGCTCCATACTGCGTTCGCTTGATGGCTACTAGCTCGTTTTGATTATAGTCGACCTCTACTCTTCGCCTTCTGTTGAATGTCCTCCTATTTTCCTGCTGAATCCTAGCGATATTATGTCGTGTCTCCTGACGAATTACCTCGCGTTCTGCATCGACCTCTTCGATGGCTGATTCCTCCAGCAGTTCGAGTAAATGTGGTATTCCTTTCAATCGCATCTCAAGTCCAGTCATAATTCTAAAAGGTGATTGTCTGGTGCTTCTTGGAGGCGTGCTGTTGATTATTTGCTGCACACGATCTACGTGCTTATACCAGATTCCAGAACTCTCGCTTCCCAACTTAGCTATCATCGGAATAATAATCCGGTGCATGCGTTCTGCTTGCCCGTGGCACCCCAGTAGCTATTAATAAATGCTGGATTTCCTCATCCTCGCAGTACTGTTTAAGCAAATTCGACGTAAAGGCGGCGCCTCTGTCTGTTATTATACCCTACTCAACGCATCTACATGTCGCATTTTTGAACCGTTTCTATGTTCTATCTCGTAACGAAAGTCTTGTAGAAACATTGCCCGACGAGATGCTCTTAATAGCACATCTCGTTTCCGCATCGTCTATCTAAAACTTCTATCTTAAAAGCTCCTATCTTAAAACTTATCCCCAACAAATATACTCTCCACTTCTTAAGTGCTTCTATAATCGCTAGTACCTCGAGTTCGTACGAATAGTACCTTTTCTCTGCTGGTTTTATTTTCCGACTCATGTATTGAATGCTTGATCGTCGAAATCCTTCCTCCGAACATACAAGCGTCTGTATGTACCTCAGTCACTGCTTTCGGATTGTATAACATTAGGACTATCGCACTGATCAATGCTGACTTCAACTTGTGGAATGCCTCCAACTGCTTGTCGCGCAACTCGAATTTAGCCTCTTTCCTGAGTAGATCGGACAGCGGTTTGGCTATTACGGCATATTCATCGACAAATCTTCTAAAGTATGATGTCAATCCCAGGAATCTCTGCAAATCCTTCTGGTCATGTGGCAGTGGGAAATTCCTAATCGCTTTCGTTTTTGTATCAGATGGTTTTATCGAACCGTATTCTATAACATAACCTAGAAAGTCTAGTTTACTTATAAGAAACTGACATTTGTCCCATTTCATTCGCAAACCATATTCTTCAGCTCTTCGTAGAACTCGTTCTAAACTGTGTACGCCTTCAGTGTAATCCTTGGAGGGAATAACTAAATCGTCCATGTAAGCTACCACAGTATCGTCTTGTATAAGATCTCTAAATACTGCTGAAATAAATCTTGAAAAAGTTCCTACGAATTCGATATGCCAAAAGGCACGTATTCGAATTCATATTGTCCGTTGTATGTAACGAATGCGGTGTAATTCCTGGAGGTAGCCTCCACTGGGACATGGCAAAATCCATTGCTAAGGTCTAGTGTTGTAAAAATATTAGCACCCTGTAACTTTTCGATAACGTCGTCGATATTTGGCATCGCGAAGTTATCGCGAACTATCTTTGTGTTTAATCGCCGATAACCGCAACACAAACGTTTCTTTCCATCTTTTTTCGAAACTAACACCACTGGTGACGAATAATTTGAATTACTGGGTTTAATGATCCCATCCTTCAACCACTCCTTAACTTGCTCATCCACCTCCTGTCTATCGGTGTATGACATCCGTCTGGGATTTTCATATACTGGGGTGTCATCTGAAAGTAAKATCTTCATCTCTACTGGCGAATTCGAATTGCCTGTAGGCTTATAATTCGCTACCAATCTTCTTACTATAGTTGCTTTCTCTTTGTCGAGGTGTGAAAGATCGACTTCGCCCACAGGTATCTTCTCCATTCCTGCGACCATACACAGGGTTCCAAACTCTTCGCTTAGTTGGACAATCCTGTTATCACCTTCATCAACTGGGTTGTTCCTAGCATTAGTGCCAATCTCCGCAGTCTCATAAACCACCTTAGAACTCGCTTCTGAAATCCTGAACTCTCTCGGCTCCTTAGCCACAACAGCGCCCTCGCTCTCATTGTTTGGTACTTCCAAAGCCCTTCTATTAGAGATCTTTCTGCGATACTTCCTAACGGCTTCCATATACTGCTCCTCATCTTCATGCAGCCTTGTGCCCACGTTTAATTTCACATCAAACTTCTTAGGCTTCGCTAACCCAACACTGCGATCTTTCCTTACTGCTCCAGTATTCACCTCCTCCTTGCTCTGTGGCGTTTCCTCCACCTTCTTCTGCCTGAACTCGGCGCCATCTTCGTAACGAACATATCGACTTGTCTCAGAACGTCGTTGCCAATCACAAGCGCATCTTTATTGTCTCGCTCTCTCTATGTGAAATTTTACTACCAACTTTATGTTGTCTATCTCGATGGATGTGGTAAAGCTACCTATTGATGTAAGTTTGCTGATACCGATACCCATCAACTGCCGCTTTTCACTACTTAAGTCAACGTCTAGACTAAGTATGTATAACGTATCGTGACGTATAATACATAAGTCGCTACCTGTGTCGATTAATGCCGACGCAGATTTTCCGTTGAAACTTACATTCTTAAAAATCAATCCACTCCGCTTCTCCGATTTTACGATTTCTCCTTCATCCGTCATATTATTGACGCTGCTTCGTTCCGATTTAGGAGTTTTCCKTCTGCCTTACAGTTAGCTGCACGATGACCCTCTTTACCGCAGTTGTAACACGATGTCTTATTGCGTGGACAGCTTCTAGCAAGATATGATGAATCCCCGCAGACAAAACATTTCCTGCTAAATGGGACTGCTTTCTGGAAATCCTTGTATGACGACGATGCCTTCTCCTGGTTCCCATTCACGGGTGGTGACTGGCTGTAACGAATCTTCTCGTATACCTTGATCTGCTCTTTCAAATCCTGTATAGTTTTCGCCTGGTATACTTTACTTACTCTTACTTTTGTTCGACCTTGAGTCCAATATGCCTTCGATGAAATATTCTATAAGGCTTGAGTCATCTAGCCCTATCGGTTTCCCCAACTCCATTAAAACGTATAAATATTCTCGAAGATCTTCCCCATGTCGCTTCCGCCGACTACGTAAAGTACGGTGTACCTCAATCGATGATAATGCTATACCAAATTCCTGCCGCAGCGCTAGTTTTAGTGAACTCCAACTGCTTATTCCTCTTTGGCTTCTTATGAAAATCTTTGCCGCACTCTTCAACAGTTGTTTTGCGTAGATGAATTTCTGCAGCTCGTTCCAACGTACTGCTGATGCATTTGCCTCAAAACCCTCAAGCCATTGTTCGAAACTTGGACGTCTCGTTCCTTTAAACGAAGTCATTGAGTCCTCACGCAAACTTCGTTGGTTTGCTACCTCTTCCACATCAGTTTCGGAACCGTCACTCACAGTCAGGCCGAAATGCTCCATCAGTCTGTCTTGTAGTGTCGCTTTCCGTCCAATAGTCGATAGCCCTGAGTCGCCTAACCTTTCCTTCAGACCGTCGACAGTCAGCTCAAAAATTTCGTTGCGGTTCATAACTTACAATGTTGTGCAAAAATCGATAAAATTCTAAAATCTTAATTTCAATAATAATATTTCCTTTTAGCTTGCGTTACAATATTCACTTTTTCCGTATACAATTCAGATAACTTTTGTGGTATTCAATTCGATCGCAATATCTGTGTTTACAATTTCCGTGTACAATTTTAATAACTTGTTTGTTAAATGAATTCTATTACAATATTCGTTTTAATCTTTCGCATACAGTTTTTGAATCAAAATATTTTCTATAACTCGAATTTTATTACAATATCCGCATTAACTTTCTTATGTATTTATATACATATCTCACGAAAGAATATTTTAAAACGTTTTTCATCAATAAAAGTTTGTTGCGATATTAGCCATAAATTTTCACAAAAATATTCAATAACTTATTTTACGTTATTCGAAAACTGTACAATTGTATGTCAAAAGACTTAGCTGTTTTTCCACTGAAATGTAACGCCACCTCCAACGATGAACTGTACTTTACCGTACACTGTACATGCCCGCCGTTACTGCTGGTACTGTTACTGACGCTGATGCTGCTACTATTGCTGCTACTGCTACTGCTGCTACTACTGCTACTGCTGCTACTATCTTCGCCGACGCTGCGCCTTGTTGCTAGCGCTACCACACCACGGACCACTTATAGAAATTAACGCATTTAAAATGTATCAAAAATTTTAACTTTAAATCGCAAATTAGTCACGCAAAATGCACTTTAATCCCGAACTTCTGGCACCACTTGTGGGATATTTTTAAAAGAATGGCCGTTTTCTTTGTATTATTACCTAAGTATTATTTCGATAAAATTATATTTAATATATGTCTTATATTTTTACACATGTGAGTGGTCCGTGGTTGGCGGTGGTCTGTCTCAGAGAACGTATATTTATAGAGAAGGTCCAATAACGGACAGGCGTGTAAACTGTCAAAAGCTAACAAAATGCGATGAGTGCATCTCACCACAGCTAGCTAAGAAGGAGAAATCTTAACAGTGGAGCGTGAACAGAGCTGAGCATTCAATGAAAATTATGCTCAGAAAAATGCATTGCTATAACAGACATATGTATGTTTGCCCTTTGTATATAATTTTATACGTTTACATACATGCAATCATATTAATTGATAYTGARTATMATTTTGCGAGTTTTTGTGAATGCATGCAAAATTGATAACTTTATCTTTAAATTATGATATTTTCAAAGTAACATTTGTAGTTAAAGTACAAATAAGAGCTACTTTTTAAATATTTCATATGTTTGATAATATATTATAAATTTACATATACATACTCATATGTCAATTTATAATATAGATATACATATATATATGACATACTATCATAATATCCTAAACAACTTATTGTAATATATTACAATAATATTATATGTAAATCGCACTTCATTTCAATTTTCATACGTATCTACATATCAGCACATAGTTACATACATACATATGTAAGTACATTTCAAATTCAATTCGTGATATTATCATTTATCAGTAAAAAGTGTGCGCGCACTGCTGCTATATGTACATACATACATCCATATTCATATGTGTCCGACATTGCCGGACAATTAATGC